AAAAAAAAAATTTCTTCCTGAAAGCTTAGATCTACATAAATGTATCTTTATGCCATGGCAAACAACAAGAAAAAACAACAAATAAAAATACAAAAAACCTAAAATGGAATTCTTGTTATTACTCGCACCTAGGGAAAAACTAAGCACATGTCTATTTTATTGCTAATTATTTGTTTATTTAATACAAAAATGTTCTTCCTTCATTAAAATTTTGAATGCTCATAGAAATGTAATAGCAATGATTCAAGTTCAGGTAATACTCTCAAATATTTATATCTGTAATAAAAGGAAATGGTTTTGCCCAACCTGAAAATTGTTTGCCCTTTTAGTCACAGGAATACGTATTGAACAGATTTATGAACTTCCTAACTACTTTCTCCTGATATTGTCCACAGTTTTGTCATTAGCTGCCACACACATTTAAGAAACATTTGCTCTTTTAGATACTACATGTCTTCTCCATGTGTGCACACGGGGTAGACCTCTGAAAAGGGGCACTGTTACTTTTCTAAATTAATGGCTGTGTTCAGCCAAGGAGGGATGGTGGACGTTTTTCCATGCCTTGGTAAAGGGCTATTCTCTTAGTTTCAGGCCCTCTTTCCCAGAATTAATTGCTCACCCTAAACTCCTGCTACAGAAATTGTGGAGTCATCACTGATCTAGTAGGAGCCCCTATCTAATAGAGCAGTGAATTAATAATCAGACATGGATACTGAGAAGTCAGAGGAAATGGCAACATTTTAGAAGTGACTGTAAAGCGTTCCCCTCCCAACACCCTAGCTAGTGTTCATTCTGTAGGTTAGCTGCTTTTCCTAGAAGCAGTATGACCAAGGGGAGGAAGAATGCCTCTCAGATTTCAGCTTTGAAGAGGAAGAGTTCAGATCGCCAGAAGTGGACTAAAACTTCTGAATTTCCTGGGATGCGGGGCCCTGTGTCTTCTTTGGGAAGTTCTGCCCCACCCCCTAAACCCACAATGTCCTTTCACTGTACCATCCCCCCAGCCCTGGGCTGCTGGAGTCCATGGCCATTCAAGTGTTCAGTCTAAATCCTGCCTGTCTCTGTGGGGAAACGGGGTGGTGGGGGGGGGGCCTGTGTAAAGGAATGCTCCGACCCTGGTGATTTTGGGGGAAAAAGGCTCGCTCCTGTGCAGAGCCCATCTCAGCCCCAGCCTAATAAAGGTGGTGTCAATAAAGGATGGAACGTGAGGTGGGGGAGGGGCGCGGGGCTGCTTAGGACTAACCGACCAACTGTCAGAATGGTCAGTCTCCGGCTCGCAGCGGTACTGCCCTTGATTGCTCCCTGCGCCCACGGACTTTCTACTTTCATAGGTAATGTCCCGGCTAAGACTCTGGGCCCCACGGGTACTTCTCACGTGGCTACTGCTGTGGCCACTGGTCATGGCAGCTCAGCCTTCGGAGTTACCCTGGATCCTGTTCGGCTGACCTCCGAGCGCCCAGGGTCAAATGACCCCTGGTCTTGCCCTCCTCTGGTCTCTCACCCAAATTGCCCCATGTGCTAACCACCTTGGCAGACCTGGGGAGATTTAATATCCTAGGTTGCCCCGCTGCAGCCGAGAAGATGGCTTGGAGTTGACTGGGACTTGGGTTCCTTTCCCAGATTCCATTAACGATATTCCCAAGAGCCAGATTAGTTTGCTGTTGGACTCCAAGGTCCTAAGAACAAGCAGGAAGACTTGGCTCAGCCTTCAAGGCACCCTGAGGGAGACGATGCTTCCCCACTCCCACCGGAGGCCCTGGCTCAGACTCTAGAGCCCTCTGAAGGGGTTCAACCTACTTCAACCCAGCAAGAGGCCTCACCTCACCTGCACAGCCCCCTGAAGAGTTCGAAACTTCTTCAGTCCAGCAGGAGGCCCCACCTGAGACTCAAGAGCTTATTGGAACTGAACCTTCTCTAACCTGAGAGGAAGCCCTGATTCAGCTTTCAGAACTCGATGATGAGGTTAAACCCACTTCAATCCAGCAAAAGGTCCAAGCTCTGCCTGCACAGCAGGCAGATCGAAACTTCTTCAGTCCAGAAGGAGGACCCACCTCAGCCTCAAAAGCCTTTTGGAGCTGACCCTTCTCCAACCTGGGAGGAAGCCCTGATTCAGCTTTCAGAGGGTCCTGATGAGGTTAAACCCACTTCATTCCAGCAAGAGGCCCCAGCTCAGCCTGCACAGCCCCCTGAGGGGTCGATCCTTCTTCAGTCCAGCAGGAGGCCTCACCTCAGTCTCAAGAAGCTTTTGGAGCTGAACCTTCTTCAGCCCTGTAGGAAGCCCAAGTTCAGCCTTTTGAGCACTTTGAGGAGGTTAAACCCACTTCAATCCAGCAAGAGGCCCCAGCTCAGCCTGCACAGCCCCTAAAGAGTTCGAGCCTTTTTCAGTCCAGCAGGAGGCTGCACCTCAGCCTCCAAAGCTTTTCAGAGCAGAACCTTCTCAAACTGGGGAGAAATCCAAAATTCAGCATTCAGAGCACCTAGAGGACGTTGAACACACTTCAATTCATCAAGAGGCTCCAGCTCACCTCACACAGCCCGCTTAAGAGTTGGACATTTTCAGTACAGCAGGAGGCCCCACCTCAGTCTCAAGAGCGTTTTGGAGCTGAATCTTCTTCAGCAAAAGAGGAAGCCCAAATTCAACCTTTTGAGCACCTTGAGGAGGTTAAACCCACTTCAATCCAGCAAGAGGGGACCTCAGCCTTCACAGCCCACTGAAGAGATCAAATGGTCTTCAGTCCAGGAGGATGCCCCACTTGAGCACAAGTGCATTTGGAAACTCAACCTTCTTCAGCCCTGTAGGAAGCCCAAGTTCAGCCTTAAGAGTACCTTGAAGTAGTTCAACCCACTTCAATCCAGCAGGAGGCCCCAGCTCAGTCTGTATAGCTCCCTGAAGAGATCGAATCTCTTCAGTCCAGCAGGAGGCCACCCTTCAGCCTCAAAGACCTTTTGGAGCTGAATCTTCTTCAGCCCTGAAGAAAGCCCAAGGTTAGACATCAGAGTTCCTTGAAGAGGTTAAACCCATTTCAGTCCAGCAAGACTTTCCAGCTAGGCCTGCACAGCTTTCTGAAGAGGTAGAATCTCTTCAGTCCTGCAGGAGACCGCCCCTCAGCCTCAAAGACCTTTTTGGAGCTGACCCTTCTCCAACCTGGGAGGAAGCTCTGATTCAGCCTTCACAACGCCCAGATGAGGTTGAACCCACTTCAATCTAGCTGGAGGACCCAGCTCATCCTGCACAGCAACCTTAAAGAGTTCGAGCCTTCTGCAGTCCAGCAGGAAGCCCCACCTCAGCCTCAAGAGCCTTTTGGAGCTGAATCTTCTTCATCCCTGCAAGAAGCACAAGTTCAGCATTCAGAGCACCTTGAGGAGGTTAAACCCACTTCAATCCAGCAAGAGGCCCCAGCTAAGCCTCCACAGCCCCCTAAAAAGTTCAAACATTCTTCAGTCCAGCAGGAGGCTGCAACTCAGCCTCAAAAGCTTTTCAGAGCAGAACCTTCTCAAACCAGGGAGAAATCCAAAATTCAGCATTCAGAGCACCTTGAGGAAGTTAAACACGCTTCAATTCAGCAAGAGGCCCCAGCTCACCCTGCACAGCCCCCTTAAGAGTTCAACAGTATCAGTCTAGCAGGAAGCCCCACCTCAGCCTCAAGAGCATTCTGGAGCTGAAACATCTTCAGCCCTGGAGGAAGCCCAAGGTCAGCCTTCAGAGTACCTTGAGGAGGTTAATCCCACTTAAATCCAGCAAGAGGCCCTAGCCAGCCAGCAAAGGCTCCTTAAAGAATCCTTACATTCTTCAGACCAGCAGGAGGCCCCACCTCAGCCTCAGGAGCCTTTTGGTGCTGAACCTTCTTCAGCACAAGATGAAGCCCAAGTTCAGCCTTCAGGATACCTTAAATTAATCCCACTTAAATCCAACAAGAGGCCACACCTCACCTGCATAGTCTCCTGAAGAGACTGAATCTTCTTCAGTCCAGCAGGAGGCCCCACCTTAGCCTCATAGGGTTTTTGTAGCTGAACTTTCTCGAACGTGTGAGGAAGCCCTGATTCAGCCTTCAGAACTCCCTGATGAGGCTAAACCTACTTCAATATAGCAAGAGTCCCCGGGTCAGCCTGCACAGCCCCCTGAAGAGTTAGAACCTTCTTCAGTCCAGCAGGTGGCCCCACCTCAGCCTCAAAGTATTTTTTGGAGCTGAACCTTCTCCATCCTGTGAGGAAGCCCTTATTCTGCCTTCAGAATGCCCTGATGAGGTTAAACCCACTTCAATCAAGCAAGAGGCCTTAGCTCAGCCTGCACAGCTCCCTAAAGAGGTGGAATTTCTTCAGTCCAGCAAGACGCCCCAACCCAAGCACCTGAGCTCCTTATTGTTCCAAAGAGCAATGCGATGGCACCTGGACTTGTAGGATCATTTCAAGCTTATGAATCAAAGTTGTGCAATGTTACTCTTAAACCTATGGATGTGGAACTTGTCATAACTCCCGAGCTTTCTAAAGATGTTGAATCTTTCACAGTCTGATAGGAGGCCCCACTTCAGCCTCCAGAACCTTTTGGGCCTGACGCTGCTCCAACCCAGGAGGAAGCATCAGCTCAGTCTCCAGAGCCTCCTAATGAGGCAGAATCATCTCCACCCAGCAGAAGTCCCCAGCTCAGTTTTCAGGGGAGGTAGAACCTTTGGCAACTCAGCAGGAACCATAGCTCAGCCTCCAGAGTATGAGGAAGTGACAGTTCCAACTCCAGATCCATCTCCAGAGCCCTCTACAGGTGGGGTGTCCTAGCTCCACCTTCAGTGCATCCTGAGGTGAAATCCTTTCCTCTAGGCCCAGGTGAAGCTCAGCACCCATCGCCTACTATCACAGCAAAAGCTGTGGACCTGGGCCTTTTCATAACCCCCATCCCACTGACGAGGTCAAAACTCTAAGCCAGCAGGAGGCTCCTCCACAGCCCCCAAGAAGACAAAATCATCTCAAGTCCTGCAGGAGGTCCCCCTTAAGGAGGCAGAACCTTCTCTAACACAACAGGTGGTCTAGGCTCAGACTTCAGAGCCCCCTGAGAAGGAAGAACCATCTCCAGTCCTACAGGAGGCCCCACAACAGTCTCTAGAGCCACCTAAAGAGGTTGTCGTACAACCTCCAGTCCATAATGAAGGGACACTTTCAGCATCAGGACAGGATCAAGTTCAGCATTCAAATGTGCCCACTTTCACAGTTCAGCCTTTGGACATGGGGCTTACCAAAACTTCAGAACCCGCTGCAGAGCTTGAACATTCTACAGCCCTGACCAAGACTGCAGCTCCTCCAAAGCACCCTCACATGACACTTCCAAATCCTGAGCAGGCTCAGAGCCAGTATCCAAACCTGACTGAAGTCACAATTCAACCTTTGGACCTGCAACTTACTGTCACTGCAGGATCCAATGTGAAGGCTAAAACTTCTCCAACCATGCAAAACACCCCAACTCAGCCTCCAAAGCCACCTAAGGAGGTTGTAGTTCAAGCTCCATTGTACAGGGAGGTGACAGTTCCAACTTCAGCTCAGGATGAACCTCAACATCCAGTGTCACCCAGCATCACGGTTCACCCTTTGGACCTGGGCCTTACTGTAACTGCAGAACCTACTATGGAGGCTAAGCCTTCTACAGCCCTGACCAAGACTACAGCTTCTTCTCCTAGGCACCTTGAGGTGAGACTTCTGCATCCAGAGCAGGTTCAGGGACAGCATCCATACCCAACTGAAGTTACAATTCAACCTGTACACCTGGAAGTTACCGTAACTCAGCAACCAGAGTCACCTGAGACCCTTCTTCCAACAACTAAACAGGGTGCCTCCAGAAACATCGACATATGTAAGCTGTGTACCTGCAAAGATGGGATGCTGTCATGTACAGGTCTCAGCCCAGAGCAAAGGCTCCACAGAGTGCCTGTGCTAGAGTCCCCCACCTACAATGGCACCTTCACCATTGTGAATCTCCAAGGAAACTCTGTTTCTTACATTGATGAAAATATATGGAAGTCATACCGTTGGGTTGAGAAACTAAATCTCGGGTGCAATTCAATCACAGAACTCAGCTTTGGAACATTTCGGGCCTGGCATGGAATGCAGTTTTTACACAAAGTAATTCTCGATCGTAATCCTCTGACAACTATTGAAGATTTGTAGCTGTTAAAATTGCCAGCACTGAGATATTTAGACATGGGGAGAACACAAGTGTCACTTACAACAGTTGAGAGCATCCTCATGATGTCCTTTCAACTGGAAAAACTGATCTTACCCAGCTGTACGACCCGCTGCCTCTGCCAATTTAAAAGTGATATTGAGGTTGTCTGCAAGACAGTGAAACTGCATTGTGACACTGAATGTCTGACAGACATCACACGTTGAGGTGAAGAAGTATCTATAGGGAATGCAGAAGGCTCGTTCATGAAGGTATTACAAGCCCGGAAGAAGAACACGAGCACTGAGCTGACTATTGAGCCAGGGAAGCCATCCTCAGACACAAATGGCGTTAATTTGTCAGCCTTCATGAATGACCCACTAGACTTCAGTGATGAAAGTGATATTATTAGTGCACTAAATTACATATTGCCTTATTTCTCGAAGGGAAATCTAGGAGATGTACAATCAGCATTATTAACACTCATTAAACTCCTTTATACAAATACAGAAGATGGAGATATGCCCCTGAGTCATTAGACAAACAACACCAGGAACCCTTCTCTTAAGCCTGAATCCAATGATGCAATGTAAAAAAAATAAAATGAGGAATCTCAATTCTCTGAAAAATTTGTTAGATGCAGAAATTGACGAAAAAATTGATGAGGTTAAAAAGAAAGAAAAAACTGCCATGCTTACATATTCCAACCTTTTAGTTCCCAAACTTAAGTGTCAAATCTTTCAGAAAAAATTGGAAGCTGACCAGGCATAGGACAACAGCCACGCAAAGATTCAGAGTGTCAAGAAAAGGCTGCTGAGAGTGAACAGGATCCTCAAGGGCCCTAAGGGCATCTGGAAAAGGTACTTCAAAGAACTGGCCACTCAGAGCATCGGGAGGAAACAGAATGCCCAGCCAAATGTGAACACTGTCAAAGAAAGAAGACTCAGGAGGCCACCCCCAAGGGAGCTGAAACAGCTTCACATGGTACACAGGCCCAGGAAATTAGTGGAAAACTCCTTCAATACAGAGCCGTCCTTCACGAAGGACCACGAGGCAGCAGTGTCTTCTACCCTGAAAGGATACTTGATGGGCAGGCTTCCTGCCTCCAGTGCTTCAAAATCCCTCTCTGAGGTTAAAAAGTCAAAAGACTTCAGCGATACTACTTTTATTTTTGAAGATGCAAATGGTAGAGTTAGAAATATGGAGGCTTCTAAACCCATCTCACATTCCAGAAAGAAACACCTCTTTCATAAAAATCGTTTTCATGTGATCCACAAAAAAACCCAGGTCAAAATGAGTCGGGAGTTCGGAAAGGAAGATTTACTCAACAGCCCGATGCTTGCAAAGAGGCCTCCGATATCTGCAGTGAGGAGCCTCATAAACTCCCCTGCATGAGAGGCTGTTTCATCTTCAGGAGAATTGACATCTCAGGAAAATCCTCTTCCAGAGTCATTTTCTCATTTGGAAACTTCTAAAGAAACGAGTAATGCACCAACTCTTTTTGAAGAAAATATTTCTACAGGGAACCCTACTGTACCAGAAAAAACTACCCCTGAAATCCCTGCCCGTGAGAATGTTTCCACAGCATGTTCTGCTCTTACTGCACGCAACTTTATGCCAAGCCAACAGTTAACATCTCCAACTCCACAGACTTCATTTCCCCATTGTTCTCATCCCCGGGTGATCAATTTGAAAATCAGCTAGCCAGCAGCTACAGTCCCTCATCCCCAACCACGATGTGAGAAAGCTCATTGCGCATGTCATCCGGACTTTGAAAATGGACTTCTCTGAGGCCAGCGTGCAGCTGCCCTGTGCCAGGCTCATCTCCAGAACAGGCCTCCTGATGAAGCTTCTCAGTGAACAGCAAGAAGCAAAGGCGTCCAAAGCAGAGTGGAAAAATGAGAACATCAGCGAGAGCACAGAGGCCTAGAGTGAACGTAAGTGGCAGGAGCCATGAGAGTGCGCAAAAGTTCCAGGATATGGCTCTCACAATGAACTCATCTTGGCAATGTCTGTGACTGTGGTAGTGATGATTTTGATTATAACTTTCTGTGTTATTGAGATTCATTCTGATAAAACAGCACCAGAGGAAGGAAAAGAAGGAAGCTCAAGGGACTTCTTTCGGCTTCTGTGTAAGAGACCCTCATCGGAACCTGAGAGCCAGATGAGCTCTTTCTGGAGAAGGCGGCTGCTTTGGCTTCGGGATATGGGTAGACTTCTCAGTGCCACACGCAAGGAAAACATGACATAGAAAACACGTGACCAAGATTCTTCTGATGAGGATGAGACTATCAATAAGGATAACGGGGAGCTTGTAGAAGTCGTAATATGACTAGAGGCCGGTTACAAAACAGTCTACTGACGAGCAGGTGAGGCAAGTGAGACAGCTCATGACAACACCACAGAGTGAATCCTGTCCTACAACATGTTTTATAAAATTGGCATTTCAGCAAAAGAAAAGAAAAGAAAAAGAAACATTTGCTTCTGCCTTTATTAGAGGTCACATTTTAACTTAGCCTGGTTGAAATATGAGCTACTCCAAATGCACATACTTTTTTTTTTCCTTTCTTATAGGAACTAATCACCTAGTTAAAGCCTGAGCCACTTATATGAGAAAACTTCTTAAAATTAAGGGTTGATAGTAGAACTATAGTGGGTTAAAATTCATAGATTGACTATGCTCAGAGGCCACCTGTAGCCCAAGCATAGGGCACATATGAAGTTCAGATTATCATAATATTTAAATAAATTCCATATAGAGTAGAGATGTCTCATTATTTATCATTATTATATTAAGAGGCCCTTTATAATCATAACCTTAAAAATGTTGCCATGCATACTATTTGCCATGAATATATTTCACTTACCTTCTGTGTATATAGTCATTACTGTCAAGATTGTGTGCGAAATACCTCTGGGTTGGGCTGTGGTTGCGGGGCTGGTAAGGTGCCTATCTCCTTACATATGAGAGCCTCGAGAAAGTTCTCAGGCTGAAAGTTATCTCCCTTTTGGGCCTGCAATTCCAGCTGTGATATACATTCATTCTTGACATTCTGATTCTCTTCAATACAATCCTGATTAAAGTACAGTGTTCCAGAGAAAGTGATATGTTAACACATTAATACTCGTATCCATTAATATCATTGTGCTTATCATAACTTCTTCCTAATGCCAGCTAGTTGAGAGCAGAGTCTTGAAGAAGAGCATATAGGCTGATAAGTTTTGATACAGGGAAATAGAAAAGGCTGTTCTAGAAGTCAGCGAGTAAACTGACAATACAAAGGGTCAGCCCTGAAGACAGAGTCTAGGAACAACTCTGGGACACAAAATAAGTGACAGTCAGTCCCTGCAGGACCCTAAATTTCAATCTAAGACATCACGTTTGTGTACAGATAGACATATTAAGCCTTTAACAGTTCAAGTGAATAAACACATTATATCACTAAAGGGGCAATATATTCTATCTACTCTAGTAAACATTTACTTACTCCAGTAAGTAAATTAAGAATCATGGGAAAAAATGTTTGGAGCAAGCAGATTTGGGGAGAGACCCTCACATTTTTTCAGAAGTAGCTGACAAGGTTTTAAATGATGTGTGCTATTGAAGAAGCTGTCTGTTTGAAGACAGAAGAGAGAAGTGCTTGACTTAGAGAAGGTGAAAGAACTTGCCTTGTGAGATGTTAGAAAATGAGCTTATATTGTGCCAAACAAAAAATGACAGGTACAAAATTGATTGCTCCTGAATGATATCAAACACACTAAATTCATTTTTCACCTAAATTCAATTTCTAGACTAGAAGAATGTTCCAGGACCAAGCTTTTTGATTGGCTTTTTTTGAGTCAATATCTTGCCTTCCCTATAGTGCATAGCCCATGCTTTTGTAAATCACCAATGCAGAGGGAGAACAAAAGCCTCACACAAGTTGTACAATCTCATCATAATATTCAAGGTTCTTTCCTCAGCCGTTGGTATTGTGAACTGGCATAATCAGTGAATTTCCAGAAAAATGGGGCTAGCAGATAAACGAACTCCCAGAATGTAAATTAGGCACAAGGATAATATTGGGACAGGTGATCTAGTGTATATGGAGGGTACTTGGGGTTTTCTTCCATCTGAAATGACCTAAGCATTGTTCTGATAAATGTTGAGGCGTGCTGCACGATATCCAAAGTTTATCCTAGCCTGGTAATTCTAAAATTTTTCCTACTGGAATGAAAGTAGTCTAGAGTTTCTATCTCTTTGGTGTTGCCCAAGTTTTGGAGGCTCTGAGGTGCAGAGATAGGCACTCATTTGTAGTAATAATTCTTAGCTGCAGTAGCGTGGTTTATTTTTAAAGTATGTAGATCTGAAAATAAAATGATTTGGCCTTGTGCCTTGCATCAGCTCTCCTAGGAATCTTACTATTCATTTGGAAAGAATGTGTTCGTGGCAATCAGGACAGTAAACAAGTCGGAAACTTTCTGAATTGGCTTTGAGCCCATTTTTCCACTGGGTACCAGATACTCTCACACCGTAAGTTATCAGCAGCGTTCAGTGTGGGTGAAGATGCCCAGCTGAAACCTAGAAGCACCATGCAACATCAGGGACACTCTTCATCTAAAGGCTTTTCCTAGGTTCAGGAAGATGTAGGCTTATTTGAATTATTCTGAATAAGCACTTCAACACTAAGGCTAGCATCACAACGTAAGCAAACTTGAGATCTCATTCTTCCTACTTGGATTTGTTTTCTCTCTGTCTGCCATGCAGAATGATAATGGGATGAAGCCATTGCTTCCATTATCAATCACGGCTCATGTCCCATCTTTTCAGTTCCGATGCAAATCACAGCCCAGCCCCAGCAGCCTCTTGAAGCCCTGCTGAGCAATCCATGTTCAACTGTGACCCGAATTCTAAAAGCAAAAAATAAAGGCAATGTTTCCAAATACCTCACCGAGAAGTGTTTTCACAGATAGGACGGTCTAATTTCGGCAACTCTTAAGGACATTTCAGTTATTTATTTTCCTATTCTTCCTTCTTTTCTTCTTCCTTGTACTGGTGTGCAAATTCCTGAGCACTTACAGTCATTGCTGGAAGTAGGAGCATCAGATTATCATTCATTTAGATGAGGAAAATATATTTGTTTTCCTCAAGGGGATTATAAATGAATTAAAATGGGGGTGAGGGACCTATGGCCTAGGAGTCATATTTTGGCCCACCACCTGTTTTCGTGTGACTTGTGATCTCTGGATGGTTTTACATTTTAAATGTTTGCAGTGAGGGGGTGGGGTGGGGGTGAATCAAATGAAAAATATTTTGTGACATGAAAAAAATGATATGAAATTCAATTTCAGTATTCATAAATAAAGTTTTATTGGAACGCAGACACACACATTGGTTCATGCATTTTCTATGGCTACTTTTATGCTACAACCGAGTTAAGTAGTAAATATCAAGATTGCCGAGCCTGCAAAACTGAAAATACTTTCTATCTGGCTCTTTATGGGAAGTCTGCTGACCCTTGAATTAGAATATTAAATAGGAAGTTCTACAACGCAGACATGAAGTAAGTGCTACTCTGAACAGGACATGAGTAACTGCCTGGGGCTTTTACATTTCCACCATCAATTATTAGTGCTTAATATTTGAAGACATCTCATATTTTTGGATGTTTTTTTCCATCAATAGTATTCAACCATCACAACTTAATGCAAGTTAAGGTGACCCAACAATACAATGAGTCAGAAGGAAATGGCTCTTCCTACAGTAAATGAAGTTTAATAAGAAAACTGAATCCATAGGAGAGGGAAAAAAAGTGCTTTATATGTAAAATCTTCTCCTAAATTTTAATATTTTCATCTGCATTGCTAATAGAATTGGAGAATTTTTCACTCTCCCTAGTAGAGCCTTGACAGTTTTGTGGCTGAAGAAGGGTCTGAGTCTAGAGTTTCACATATGAAAGAATGACAGGTGGAGAGGAAATGGTTCTGCAAGATTGTCCCACATAGCTGACTGCTAAGTTCTCAATCTCTTCCCCTTTGTCTACCTGGCCATTTGGGGTTCAATCATGCCTTATCTTTGAGGTTGAGGGGACTTACAGTGCTTAATCCCATTGCATGCTGTTTTAATTTAACAGGTCCTGTTCATTCTTTAGTTGGGCACTTGCTTTCGATGACATTTTTCATGCTCCACTCCTTTGTAAAATTCCTGAGTGTCCTGTCTACTGGTTAATGTCTCAAAGAGAGGAACAAATGGGGGAGAGAGGGAAGGAAGAACTAGTTTTGAAATAGGATGATCCAGATTCTTCATTACCTCCTTAGAGATTGTGCCTTTATGAAGCATTCTCAACTGTTAAAGTGTTCCCTGGAATTAAGTAAAAAGCAAGAACTCATGTATAGCATATACATACCTGTCCTCATTTCACATCTGACAAAACGGAGTCTCAGAAAGGTTAGTGAATTACTCAAGTTTATAGAGTTTGGGAAACGGCAAAATTGGAATTTGTGCCACTGAGTAGAAACGTGAGGCACTTTATACTATATCACAGCCACCTCCCTGTTGTAGAATATAATGTAAGCTACAAGCCTAGATGTAGCTGTCCCTGTTAGATATAATTTAAATATATTAACTTAGCAAAATTTATCCCTGCAAGGAAATTGCCACTGCCCATGCTATGCCCGTGTTACCCAACCCAGGGTTCCTTGCAAGGCCCTGAAATCCTACATCTGACAACTTCAGCTCTTATGCTAACATTGTCTGGAGAGCCTCCTACTTATCTCAAGGGTTGAGCAATAACTTTCTTGTATTAAAGCAAGATAGAGGCAGATAGCTCTCAGAAGAATGAACACAAAGTCTTCCTAGGTGTGGCCCTCCAGCTAACTCAGTGCAGACTTGACCAGATATGAGGCACAGGGAAGAGATACTGGTAGGGGAAACCAGTCCTGAATCAGAAGTGGAAAAATCACCTCCCTTAAACTGAATTTGGTAATGCTTATGATCAGATGGGATGGTGTCACATAAGTCCAAATACAGAGGATGCCAAAAAAAGGTGTACACATTTTAGGAAAGGAAAACTATTAAAATTGTAATAATATATATATTGATAACAAAAGATGAATACAAGTCACGTTTGAGTTTTGCAATTACAAGAGGTGCTCAGCATGTTTACTATCAGCATCCAGATACTTCTGATTACAGCGAACTACTGCTTGAGCAACATTGACCAAAATGTCCACTTGTATACATTTCTTTGGCGCCCCCGGTATTTATGGAGG